TTTTCGCAGTACGACAGAGAAAAATTGCTTCTATTTGTACTGGAAAGAGCGAGTTACTATCTTCCTGTGCAACTTTTAAAGAAGGTTTCAAATTTGGGGTATAACTGTAGGCGGGTTGCATTCCTGCAAACTCGATTTGAAAAATTCGGCACTGCAAAGACGGAAGGCCTGCAGATTTGAGTTTTTTCAAATGAATAGAGAAAAGGTGTGCCTTCATATATTAGAAAGTTGACTTTGTTTCTGGGTCAATTTTGGGAAGTTTCCTAATTCGAACTTCACCTTTGACCAAGCGGCGTTTCAGCAGACTCATCAAAAAATTTCTCTGTTTAGAAAATTTCGGACGCTTATTACAGAAGAACCAATCAGTTGAGTTTTCAGGACAAGATAGGGAAAATCGGCTGCTCCTGATGCGCGAAAACGTGTTTTATTAGAGTTTCTAAAATTTCCCAAAAAATCAGTCGCTAATTGTGACCGTATGGCGTTTCTGCGACTTGCTTGAAAAATTCCGTGCTCTTAATGCGGAAGAGCTAGAAAATTGGGTTTTCGCAGTACGACAGACAAGAAATGCTTATGTTTGTACTGGAAAAAGCGGGTTATTATCTTCCTATGCAACTTTTAAAAAATGTTTCAAATTTGGGATATAACTTTAGGCGCGTTGCATTCCTGCAAGTTCGGTTTGAAAAATTCGGCACTGCAAAGACGGAAAGCCTGCAGATTTGAGTTTTTTCAAATGGATGGAGAAAAGGTGTGCCTGCAAATATTAGAAAGTTGACTTTGTTTCTGGGTCAATTTTGGGATGTTTCCTAATTCGGACTTCATCTTTGACCAACCGGCGTTTCAGCAGACTCATCAAAAAATTTCTCTGTTTAGAAAATTTCGTACGCTTATTGCAGAAGAACCAATCAGTTGAGTTTTCAGGACAAGATAGGGAAAATCGGCTGCATCTGATGCCCGAAAAAGTGTTTTATTAGAGTTTCTGAAATTTCCTAAAAACTCAGTCGCGAATTGTGAACGTGTGGCGTGGAATTCTACCGAACGACGTCCTAAAAACCCATTAGTTTGTGTAGTATTGTTTAAAAAATATCCGTTATTAAAAAAAATAAAGATTAAAATTCCAAAATCACGCATCTTTGGTTGACTACATCAATTGCTCCAATTCAACCTGCACGAGCGCGTATCACAAAATTTGTTTGGTTACAAAATCCATATCATAATTCTAATCGAGTCAACGTTTGCTTAGAAAATTAGTGTGTGGTGATACCGTCGGAATTAATGCTCAATAAATGGGAACATTGTTGGCTTATTAGCGCGTTCAGACTAAAGTCTTCATAAGATTTATTATGCAGTGACAGGTGAGAGTGTGGAACACGAGATTCTGGAAAATGCAGCAGAGGATTGGAAAGAATCATGATTGAAATGACCACTATGAGGTGAGGAAACCCATTATTGCTGCTGAAAGGCGGTCAAGATGGTTAATTGCTTGTTTCGCGCGTTTAAACTGTTGACCCAATTTCGATATACGCGAAAAACTTGGAGGTTTTGGCATTTTTAGTGAAGATGGAGAGCCAGCTTTAAACAGTAGCAAGCACGGAAAGTCGCCATTTCAACGGGCTCTCCCCCAAATAGTGGCAGTGAGCATTAAAAACATCCTTCTACTGGCGTTTGGCACCAGCGTCGGTTTCCCTACTATCCTAATTGGGAGTTTTTCTACTCCCAATCCAGACCCCAGCTTCACAATGTCTGAAAACGCCATCTCTTGGATAGGCAAGCCCATTTTTCCGCCTCACTCAATCTAAATTACCTCTGGCATATTTTCCAGGTTCCTTAACATATCTTTGCAACCCACTTGGCTCCATCCTTTCGGTCTTTACCACTCAGCGCTTCGGCAGACGTAGATGCATGCAACTGGTCAACATCCCTTATATCACTGCATGGCTGCTGCTCTACTCAGCCACAAAAACCTGGCATGTCTTTGTAGGGCTGGGCCTCATAGGGTTCTCTGGGGGATTTTTAGAACCCCCCGTAAGTACCAGCAGCATCTGGAGTTAATAACTGGCAATTTAGAGCGTTCCAATTCCAGATCCTCACATACGTTGCAGAGATCACCGAGCCCCGACTTCGAGGCGCTTTGAGCTCCACCAGCAGCATGTCGATCAACCTCGGAATTCTCCTGGCTTTTATCTTGGGGACGTTCATCAGCTGGCGCAGTCTGGCTTTGTTCAACACTTGCATTCCAGTGGCTGGATTGCTGCTGCTGCTGCTCGTTCCAGAGTCGCCCTATTGGTTGATATCGCAGAACCGGCTGGACGAGGCGCGGAAAAGTTTGGCGTGGCTTCGAGGCTGGGCCGACCATCGGGCTGTCGAAGAGGAGTTCTCGAGTTTGCACTCCCACCTCCAAAGGCACCCCATGTATGCCAGAAGCAGCTGCTCCACGTGGGGGAAAATCCGGCCGTATTTACAGCCCAACTTCCTAAAGCCGTTTGCTTTGATTGCCAGCACTTTCGTGTTGAGTCACTTCTGGAGCACGCCAGTCAACGTGTACGCCATCAAGGTCTTCAGTATCTTCCAGGTGCCCATTGGGCCCTACCAGGCAACTATCTACATCGGCATTGTGGAGCTGGTGGCTGTGATAACTTGCGTGTTCGCAATTAAATGGCTGGGCAAAAGACTGCTGACCAACATCTCACTTGTGGGGGTTTTCGTGTGCATTTTATGCACCGGCGCCTACTGCCAGATGAGCGGCGCCTACTATCTGGATAACCACAACATGGAAAGCCCCTACAGCTGGATGCCAGTGTTGACGCTACTGGGCCAAGCGTTCTTCACCTACCTGTGCATCAAAGGGCTTCCCTGGATCCTGATCGGGGAACTCTACGACAACGATGTGAGGAGTTTTGGGTCTGGACTCAGCTCGGCCGCTGGATACGTGGTGGGCTTCGTCGCCAATAAAACCTTTTTGGAGCTGGTCAGCTCTGTCACTCTGCCTGGTGTGTTGTGGATGTACAGTGCTTTGACTCTAGTAGGAGCTACGTTGCTTTACTTCTTCATGCCGGAAACGGAGGGAAAGTCACTGGCGCAGATCACTGAACACTATTCGGGAGGCGAAAATCTGGGTAATAAAGTGTTTCGAAACAGGCCGTCGCCCAGGAAAAGTTTCTACTAAAGTAGGGTGTAATAAATTTGATTGGAGATTGAGGAAAGTTTCAAAAAATTTAAGCTTTTGTACAGGGTTATTCACGCTATACGGCACGGACGTTTGCGGCTAGCCCGTTTGTTTTTTGCAAACTATTATTTGATGAATCCACAGACGCCTATCGG